TTTCAAATGCTGACGCGCGCTTTGTTTGTGAAGACTGCTCACGCATGCGGCTGTGTGCGACTCCGTGTAAGTGGTTTAATGCACTTGCGTCTCAAAATGGTTTTATGATGCAAAATTAATGTAAACACAGCCAGTTATGTCTTAAGGGATTAAACGGACAGGACAAACCACATTACTTTTTATATTTCAAAAGAGATCCGTGCGTGAATGCAGCTTATAGATCTCCCACTGTCTATATGATGTCATAGTAAAAAACAACAGTAAAGACGAAGAAAAATCACTCACAGTTCTTGGATGGAAAACATTCAGAAAGTTGAACATGCAGTTGAACAGTCCACAAGTCGTCAAATAAAGCTCACGCATTCATAATAAAAACGTGCCGCAGACGGCTCCGGGGGGTGAATAAAGGCCCCCCTGTAGCGAATCCATGAGTTTTTGTAAGAAAAATATCCATATTTCAAACGTAATAAACACTTTTCTCTCACTTCCGCTGACTGTCATACACTGAAGCAGTTCCGGCGGATGACGTAAGACGCGCGGCGTTGCGTGATTAGTGACTAATGCGGAGAGGGAACAAAACAAAAGTCACTTTTCTCTCACTTCTGCTGACTGTCATACACTGAAGCAGTTCCCGCGGATGACGTAAGACGCGCGGCATTGCATGATTAGTGACTAATGCGGAGAGGGAACAAAACAAAAGTCCGGTCACGAATTAGAAGTACAAACCGAAGATTTGCAAAGAAAAATGTCGGAGGATTTCGAAATAAACCAAGAGACTGGTTTTTCTTTTGCTAAAGGAAACTTTGCTTCCTTTGCTCCTATTAAACAAACTCGCGAGACTAGCATATCTCAGAGGCGCGCACGCTGCGCACATGTCATACGCCTTCCGCCGGAACGGATCCGTGTATGACAGATAACGGAAGTGAGAGAAAAGTGTTTATTACGTTTGAAATATGGATATTTTTCTTACAAAAACTCATGGATTCGCTACAGGAGGCCTTTATTCATCTCCCGGAGCTGTCTGCGGCACATTTTATTATGAATGCACGAGCTTTATTTGACGACTTGTGGACTGAACTGCAACACCCGCTGATTGCAATGATAGAGCTTGGAATAGTTAAAAACAAAACATCAAGCCCAGCCCAGATTTAAAAAGTAACACAAAAGTAACGTAATGCAATACTTATAAAAAGTAACCAAGTACCGTAATTAGTTACTTTTTTAGGGAGTAATGCAATATTGTAATGCATTACTTTTAAAAGTAACTTTCCCCAACACTGAATATGAACATGCTTCAAAATATCTTCTTTTGTGCTCAGCAGAAGAAATACAGGTTTGGAACAACTCGAGGGTGAGTAAATGATGACAGAATGTTTATTTTTGGGTGAACTGTCCCTTTAAAGAGTTATCTAACTCTTACCTAATTTGTCTTAGTAATCACTTTGTTACTAACAAGTTGATAAATGACCCAACAGAGCAAACCAGAAATTCAATTGGCTTTGCTCTAAATGACAACATCAGTGTTGTTGCACTGAGTCACGCCTTTGCAGAGCGAGTATCCATTACTCTAGAACAGCTAACAAAGAACGGCACTCATGTATTTTCTGGATCGTGCAGCCGGACCGGCCTCAAAGGCAGGGCCGCATGTGCAGGAGAGCGCAATTCCTCAGCGCTGCGATTTGCATTCGCCTGCAGGAACTTCGGCCAGCAGTGTAATGACTTCAAAATCCTGCACTGCGCTGCCAACGTTATTACAAACACCGCTCAAGTGAAGGTTATATAACCTGAAGCGCTGAAACGCCAGAAAGCTATTGCAATACTGGCGACTTCATGCAAGGGGAAAACAGTTCTTTGCATTGGCTGTTTTACAGCTTTTCGATTCATCTACCTCTGCTGGGGTGGAAAATTCTTCCCTGCCATCCACCGCCTGATTAAACACACGTGTTCGGGTGTAGCTGCCTGCACATCGAGCTGCTCTGTCCTCTGACAATGAGCATGTCAAAAATGGAAGAGCGAAGAGATACTGCCAAAATAAAAGACACTGCACCAACACCATAATGTGGTGGACAATAAACAAATAAACAATAATATAAAAAATAATTAATAATATTAATACAAATGTTTTGGTCCAAAATCATTATAATAAAGTGCCAAATATGAGTGAACAAAACAGGTACTGGCTGGTACCTGCAACAGAATTTGAACAATATATTACATTTTGAAACTGATTATTCAGACTTTTAAATCCGATTAGATGAGCCATGTTTGTAAAAAGCTTTTTTTTTTTAATATTAAAAAAAAAAAAAAAAATAAGTGGGGGGTGTCTGATTTTGAAGTAAAAAATAACTGAAGGTCATATTATTTATTGTTAACTACAAATAAGTAAATGGCACTAACATAAATAAACATAATAAATAAAAATTTTATTAGTAGTAAAATATTTTTTAATTATTAGTAAACTAATAGTAAGTCTAGTAAGGCAGAGGTCCCCAACCACCGGGTCGCGACCCAGTACCCAATATACTTGACATGCCAAATCAATAACTCAAAAAACAAAAAAAAAGCTGCACAACAAAAAGGCACAAAGTAATGACCTGAATGTGCATGGGTGCTTTAAATGGGATGAAATGTAAAGATGCTTTTCCAAGAAGGTTTTATTATACAAACTGTCTGACACGTAAAACACAGCATGCCAATCAGTTCAAAAGAAACATCCTTTGGTCACTGAAAACTGGTTGATAGACCGACATGAGCTACAGCACTTCAGCAACTCGATTTGAGACGGGTGTCAGACGTGAAAGCAAACAAGGGTTAGAAACAGGTCGCTGCCGCCTGCGGAGGGCAACGCTGGCGGTCTTCTGTGTCACGCTTTATACATAGAAACAGCCAAGAGATGTCCGTCTCTCCATCTACCCTAAATCACCCTCCTCAAAATGGGTCATTTCCGCACGTAAGAGACAAACGGCGACACCGAACACAAAGACAAACCTCGCTGCTATTGCAATTTCAGGCACTCAAGTGCATTTCGGGAAAAAATTCAAAGCAAGACCAAACAATATTCTTATCTAACCATGACCAGGCTTATTCGCCAAGCAAAGGGACATGGAGGGGAATGCAAGGAAGACTTAAGCTTCTCCGAGCACAAACAGTGGAAAACAGCACTGCTTTGAAGCCTCTCTTTGTTGTGCTGTTCAATATTTTAAACTGGTGAACTAGTTTGTGCTATTGCTGACCTATCCTAGCATGCAATAAAAAAGGTGTTTGGGAGTTCATCTTGAGGCAAAGTATTATTAAATAAAATATGAATGCAATAATTTGTTTTAGGAGGTTTGCAGGAACAACTGAGAGACAATTCTAGATTACCTTTGCTTTTAATTTTATTGTATATTAGGGGTGCAACAGTTCAACTTACTCACGGTTCGGTTTGAATCACGGTTTTAGAGTCACGGTTTGGTACTAGGCATGGGACGATAACCGGTTTCAAGGTATACCACGGTTTGGAAAAGTCACGGTTTCAAAACCACTAAAATTTTCCGTTATACCGTTCCTGCGGTATGCGCAGTTTTTTTACGTGTCGTCAAAGACGGAAAGTGCAGGACTCCCTCAGTTGTGTGCAGCGAAGAGCGTAGCGAGTCACACGACCCCTCAACCCCTCCGGTTGGTGCGAGCGGTCAGAGTCACCTGTGTGTAAGATGGCCGAAGGAGATTAATCCCTGGAACTTTTTCCCCCATCGAAAAAGA